CCTCCGATACGGGTACTTCATTCACTAAGGGCTGCAGTACTGCTAGGCTGCAGCCGACATGCTACCGCATATCTGTGAAAATTGACTCCTCCCTCTTTATCTAGAGTGGCTGCTCTTGAGGTGATAACTGCGGTAGCATAGCAACTACGTCCTTTAAATACTTCAACCTTTGTACATGAACTAGCCGTATATAATATCTTCTCTTATTATGGTTTCGAGCATGAACGTCAAAAATTGGGTTAATAAAGTGCTTCCTCGAGCGGTGGTGTTGAATCCTTCTCAAGCGCCTTCTGATGGTTGCAAATTGTGCTTATATCGACCGATTTGGATGTTGTTTTCCTTTCTGACCTACTATGGACTCCTATGGACTCCAGAAATAATTATTTCCGTGCCGTTTATCCTTGTAGATGAAGCATCTGGGTGTGTGCTCGGCCATAGTTATTCGCGGATTACAAAGGTTGCAGTCCAGAGCTCCAAAGCATAAACGAATTTCTGATGAAATTCTATGCAAGTCACTTTGAGTAACTATTCTTAAATTGAATCAGTTGGCGATAAAGTCAGGTTGAATGGTTATTTTTGGTCAAAAGTTCAGCCTTTTGAAAGGGAAAAAATAATTAGCACTTTGCACTTAATTATCACCCTGAACGGGAAAAATGACTATACTGCTTTATTCAGATGTTGAAACAACGCCTGGAGTCGTTTTAGTGTGCGCGAATAAATATTTCTCCCACAAGAAACATGACCTAAAGTAAGATCTACGTGGCAGCACGTAAGATTTGAATGGAACCATTTTCTATCGTCTGCGTATAGTAGGACTGAATCGGGATGAGAAATAAATAAAGCGATAATTAAAAAAAACACTGCAGCTTAGTTCCTCTTTCCTATAATCATTATCTACTCCAAGTACGTCTCAGTCACTAGATAAACAATGAATAAATAATGAATATTCATCATATAAATAAATTAATTGAACACACTTATCAGTATTTGGGTGGTCAGTCCAAGGTATATCAAACGTTTTCCATTTTACCTTAAGCTTGGAAAAAGGAATAAAAGGGTTTTGCCCATGTAGAATACGTTTATAAGTCAGCTGGTTAAAGGAAATTTAAAAATCTGCTGGCAAACTTCAATTCATATTCTTTTCTGGACAATTTACTTTACCGATAGCCATCGTAGACAACATTCACGTATATGCACTTGGTTCTCTAGTGGAGGAAACTAATATGAATGAGGAAGATAAGTGAACACAGTTTTCGCTAACTTAAAAAGTAATTAGCTCGTAAGCGTGCACCAGATGATGCAAAATCAAAATAAACCTGCTCATTCCAGATAGAAAGAACGATTTTAGATTGATTTTAACTGTCAAATTATGTAAAATTAGCACATAACTAATCCAGCGGTGAAAAGTTATTTCAAGGATGTGGGTGGTTGCCTCGTTATTTAGGCGGGTGGACCGTAGTCTTTACCAAAGCTCTTACAGTTTTTTTGCTGTGGACCTTGTCGCATGTCCCACAATTGGGTAGTCAGTTAGGTTACTTTATTATTTGTTTCGCTACTCTGTGGCATATTTGTCTTAATAAAATTGGACTTAAGATTAAGTAAAAACAGAGAGAATGCCCACCGAATAAAGAAATAAAGGGTTAACATTTTCGACGGACAGCTTGCTAATGCAGGTCAAACAAGTGCACGAACGCGAAAAATGTACTACCTCTCTCGTCGAATTCACCTTGGATGCAGATGATGGATTTGGGCGAACATCAGCAGGATAGTATAGCAATGCACATTTTAACAGGCTTACTTCTTATGAATGCTTTCATTTGGCAAAGATCCTCGTCATGGACGTCCGCTTTCTTCGGTGAAGAGGTCATAAGATAAAATGAACCTACAAAAATGACTTGAACTACAGCAGCCGAAAACGAACAGCAGGGAACCTACTCCCTAAGGGGAACTTTATTAGTAACTGCCATATTTAGGTTATGAAATATGCAGCCCATCTTTTCAAGAGATCAACTGAACGCAGCAATAATCAGCTAGTACTTGTTCGCATTTTACGGGCTTCCTGACACTCAGTGGACTCCGTTGTCGCCATAAAGCACTTTGGGCAATATATTTTCTTTCGATGCTCAGAAAGTGCCGTGTTTGTGATTGAATTTGGTGAGTATATCACAACGTATCATTTCCAAACAGTCTGTGGAAAAGTGATTTTATGAAAGTCTACTTTCAAGTCACAGTTCCGTCTAGAAAATCAAATGGGATCATCTTTTCACTGACATAGGTGTTTATCGTACTCCCGATAAAGGTACCAGCTAAAATCCTAAACACGCATTCCACCGGTATTAATGCTGCTACGTGATGCAGCTGCTAGTGAATTGGCCTATTTGTGGGTCTAACAGTCTTCTGAACACGGTGTCTGGTGCACGAACTCCTGAGAATAGGTGGTGCAAGACACGTAATTCCGTCTCGAAGACATGCCTTTTTAGCGTCTGCTCTGAAAGTTGCATGAACATTTGAATCAAAGACCGAAAATAGGATTAAACCTACGTCATGGGACACTTATATTACTTTTAGTACTACGCGTTTGTAGAATGATTATTGTGTGGTTATTCCACAGTAGATGATCATATTCGATTGAAACGTTCATGAACTTTTCAGCTCTGCCACTAGAAGATTATACCCCGGAGACCTATTTCCATGTCCTGCACTTAATATTTACGGAAATATTGCCTTCATAATCATCTTGTATCAGTTCAACCATGTATCATACAAAGCAGAGGTAAAATACATTGACCCTCAAGCCTGCTTACCATTCTGGTAAAAATGGCTAGACAGTGGACAGCTTACTGCCCCTCATACTGAATTTTCCCTCATTCCTAGAGGATACTTAGCCTAGCGAATAACGCAGTTCGAACTATTCGGTTGTTTGCGTGTATCTACGTTGCTTCTTTCTCACTTGACACGAACTTCGCCATTTTCAACATTCCGTTTCTCTTAAAATATTTTTCTCCGGATCATCTTTATACTGCGATCAGCATTTTTATTGGGCTTTCAGTTTTGTAAAAATTCTTGAGTTTGATGTATTTGATGATGCAAGAACTCATGAATGAGCAGAAACTATATGTATAGAAAGGTTACAGGGGAGTTAATCAAAGATGATATGACTTCTGTTCTTGAAAGTACACATTAAATACCCCAAAACATAATTTACAACTTTCGTTTGTGTTATTTTAAAGACCTTTAAAGGAGCTGAACACACCTAGCTCCCTCATTCAACTACCGAGTTTTTACCGAAGAATAATAAACAATTTTATATACAGTTTCTATCCTACATACGAGAAAATCTCTGTTACGCAAAAACAACCCATGCTGCGTCCCCCAACGTCTTACAGCAGTAAAGTAACGACCGTGCTTAAAAAGAATGGATATTGCACTTTATCAAACTGTTACGTTATTACGTTGTTTAGAAATACCAGCTTTCTTAGAAAAGTGGAGCAAGGGTTTCATAAAAGAACTTAAGTTTTAGATACAAAGAAACCCAGTTCATGCAAAAACAAAATAAATAAAGTAGCATAAGTAGAAGTAGGTTTCAAAATAAACCTTTTGTGAAGTTTTCGGACACATACGTTTCCAAAGAAGACGAAGACGCGATCCCTGGAACGATAGTTTCCATATTACGCGTAATATCAGAGCGATGTGAAGATAGTGTCATCTGGAATGACATTTTGGGCCAATCGTCGATTCTGCCACAGAGCGTAAACGACAAACTGATAACCCTACGCAGGCCTCTTCGCGGACACACAACTGCCACTGTCATCAGCGCCTACGTCAGCCCCTCTTGCCCACCAAATGGCGAGCTCTGATTAGTCGACGGACAATGTCTACGGGGACTTGTTCCCCCTCCTGGCGTCTTTGTCGATGCCAGACGAGTTGGTTGTACTTAACGACCTCAGCGCTTGTGTCGGTATAGTCCACGCTGTCTGGATTGGAGGACGGGATCCTCGGGGTAAAGATAACGGCCTTATTCTTTTGCGAACCTGCACGGAAAATCGCCTCCTGCTGGTCAACACCTTCCGCTTTCCGTCGCGTGATAAGGCAACCTGGAAACACCCAATCGCGACACTGACCGCTGCTGGAGTACGTTCTCGTCCGGAGGCGAGATTAACACGACATGCTTGTGACTAAGGCAATCTGTGATGCCTACGGCTAGACGGATCACCGTCCCGTCATCTCCAAGACGAGACTTTGACTTTAACCTCACAGAAGGCCTCAAAGTAATTGACTATGAGGTAAGTGAAGTACTCATATATTAGAGAGGATGACGTCAATTGCGGAACGTCATCCAGACCACTGCCCTCGTCGACCTCGGACGCGCGCCGTTCAGCTGCTAACAAGGCAGCCTTCTTTAGATGCCGCTTCTTTGTACAGCGAAAGCTACGGACGTTGCCGGACGCTGGGATGGCCTGCAGGGCTGGGGAAATCCAAAAGTATGCGGACTGCGACGAAATGAAAAATTTCTTACGGCTCTGAATTAAGGGAAATGCGTTGCTCCTTAGCTCCGAGGTTACAACACTTTTGACAGAGAAACCACACTTTCCGAAGTGCTAAGCTGGACACTTCAGAGTTGTCTTCGACCGCTTATTTACGATTTCTGACACTTACTTATATGGAAACGACGAATGACCTCGATACTCCGTTCTCCCTATCAGAAGCCATCCGGGCCGCAATCTCCGCTGAAGTCTACAATCGCGGCGGCCACCGGTCGATGGCGGAACTTACAGCGATATTCTAGGAGATGTGACACAAGAGTTAGGTTCCTCAAGATTTCAAGGACATGACCAACAGTAAGTACGAATGAATGTTCAATTTATTTAATTTGACTAAAGGAATATAGGTAAGCCTCCACATGACGGAAAATACGTATTTTAGATCGAATGGAAGGGGAAAAGCGACCAAATTTTTATGGCGCGTTAGTATTTCCTGGTGTTCTTCCGTTATTTTGCGTTATGGTAATGCCTATCTTGGCCATTTTCACCTACATCCTGCGCATTGCAACTTTTAACTTAGGTGACGTTGAAGTTTGTGCAGGCCTGGAGGTGAAGGATGCCAATGCAGTTAAAGTTCTTGATCCCGTAGTGACCAAACATACCTTCCTAATTGAAAAGTCTTCTGCTAAGGTCGAAATTGAGGTTATCCAGAAAATTTAATTTGTCCGTCACGGAAACCGCCGCAAACAGTACATGCATATAATTGCAGAACTTCTCCATCACGTCGTCAAACGAACCCCACCTAGAATCGCGATGTGAAAACTCTAACTTTCTGATCGTTTGGTCACCAAATTTGCCTAAAAGTGATCGAACATTCACAATTGTCCAAATTGAACAGTGCCGTCGGGTGCAGAGGCTAACATGCCGCGAAGGCCACCGTTTATGTCATATATAAGTTATGGGCATGTGGATATCCGAAGCTACCTAACGTGCCTTAAACTGATGTGAATCCCGTTTCGGTCCAAAGGGAATGTGGTGCGGCGAATAATATAAAGAGTATGGTAAGACATTAGAGGTTACGATAAAGGTTATGGTCAGTGCTAGCGTTTTGACATTGGAATTTAGCGCAATTCCACCTTTTGCAGGAGGGTGATGTTCCTATTATATGTTCCTGCCATGGGTGGGGGATCTAGGTGATTCCGATCTGCAAGTTCCGAGTAAAGCAGTAGAAAGTTTGAGCCTCAGAAGACGAAACCGACGAAACGAAACAAAGAAAAACTAAGTGGTTTGCAGAGTACCTCAAACCCTGTCAATTATATTTATTAGGCTAACATGATGTGTAAAGTAGGCTTTCTTTCACTCCACGGGTGTTTCTAAGTCATTTTGGATGCAAAATAGAACGCTGTCATATTAAAGTCAGATGTCCTGTCCTATTGACTATTGCAGACCTCACCTTCGTGTTCATGGGCGGTTTCCTTTGATCACAAGTTAATATGCGTGACAAAATACTGGGCATGCAGACCTTGAAAAGGTGTAAATTATTGTTTTGTTTTCGCAAATCAACTTAAGGAAAACAGGAAAAGATTCTTTCCGTAAGCATAGCGGAATCGCTCTATATTTCGAAAATGTTCATACATAAATAGATGTCTTTTTCTTCCTTTAACCAAAGTAATGAATTCAACAGGCCATTTTTGTTTTACTACGCCCATAGTTTGCAGTTCATTTTTATTTAAATAAAAATTTTGCACCTGAATGGATACCGCGTAGACGAAATATTTTTAAGAATTGATGATATCGCTTTGATATGGTTCCTTAAAAATGAATAAGCCAATGACAGAGGTATTGGCAGCGTTTTTCGTGTAATAGACGAAACTTTATCAATGTCATTCAGGAAACCCCCTACAAGGTAAGCCTTATTCGTTTTGTAAAAAACGGAACTTGGTACTACTAATCAGCAATGAGCCATAGCAACCAGTATTCTAAGTTGATAAATAACTGTACAAATATTCGGAAGAAGAAGAAACGATCACTGGAACAAGAGGTTTATTTTCCTG